TGGATTTTGAACTCAGGCCCTAAGTTGTGCTCGTTATGTGATCTCAATTAATTGGCTTCATCTGTGTCTCAGTTTCCTTATCTGTGTAATGAAGACAATAATGGTATCTATTTCACTGGACAGCTGTGAGGATCAAATGAGATATTTCATGTGGAGCTCAGAATATGACCTTTGGAGCATAGTGAATGCTTGATAAATGCTGAAGCTGGGACTGTGATGACTTAAACTTCCAGTCTCTAGTTTGGTTTCCTGATCTCCAGAGCACTTCCGCGAGAATTTCTCTCTCACTGCTTTGCTCCTCCAAAGTCCAAATTTAAATCCTATTTCACCATTCCAAATCCTTCTCCTGCCCCTAACTTGCTCTGCCCTATCAAGCCCACATTCTTGTGCTACGTCTCCTTTCTCAATACTTATAAAGCAGATGTTATACCCATAAAAATCGCTAAAATGAAAAAAAAGATGAAAAATACTAAAAAATGCCTGAAGACGTAGTGCATCCAGACTCAAGAGTGCTGGCAGAAGAGCACATTAATTCTACTACTTTGGAAAACTTTCTGGCAATAAGACTGAACACATACTGTCCTTTAATCCAGGAATTTCACACCTAGGTCTACCCTCAACAGAAACATGCACATACATACATCAAAAATCATGTAGAAGAAATTTCTTCATAGCACAATATTAGCTACCTACTGCTACAGAACATATTACCCCCAAACTTAGCAACTTAAAACAACAGACCTTTATTATCTCACAGTTTCTGTGGCTGAGGAATTGGGGAATAACGTAGCTGGGTTCAGGGCCAAGGTACCCGTTAGGTACAGCAGGCACCAGGCCTAGGGCCCACGATGCTTGTTAGTACAATTTCCTCCTTCCAGTGAGTGAGATACTTCCTTTTTGTTGTAACGGAGGAAGGGGCCCACAAAGACAAAAGTGCGTAGGTCCCATAAAGTCACAGTGCAGCCCTGGCTGGGTGGGTCTCTCATGAGGTCTGTCAAGCTGTCATCCGGGAACGCAGTCCTTGGAAGATTTCCCTGGGAAAGATCCATCTCCACGCTCACTCAGGTAGTAGCTGGCAGTTTTTAGTTCTCTAGTTGTTGGCTGGAGGCCTCAGTTTATCACCACATGGGCCCCTCCATGGCTGCCTGGGTGTCCTTAGGACATGGTAGATGGCTTCCCTCAGAGAAAGAGAGAGAGAGGGAGAGTGGGAGCAATCAAAAGAGAGAAAAACCAAGATGCCAAGGTATCTTTCATAACCTCATCTTGGAAGTCAACTTCTATCCCTTCTGCCATATTCTATTGTTTACACAAACCAACTCTGGGACAGCGTGGGAGGAGACCACAGAATCGTGTGAATACCAGGAGTCCAGGATCGTGTGGTGCCCTGTTAGAGGCTGGCCTATCTTGAGTCGTTAAAAAACAGAAACTATCCAAATGTTTATCAACAGTAGAAATAATAAATAAATGATACTGTATTTCTACAACGGAATTCTACACAGCAATAAGAACGAACCATTTATAACTACATACAACAATATAGATTGTAGCTCATAAACATAATGTTGCAAGAAGAAGCCAGGAACAAATAGTATACTTGATATGATTCCACTGATGCAAAGTTAAAAACCAGGCAACACAACTCTGGGTGTTAGAGGCCAGATAGTGGTTTCGCCGGGAGAGATACTGATGGAAAGTAGATACAAAGGAAGCTTTTGGGTGCTGGCAATATTCAGTATCTTTGTCTGGATGTTAATTCCACAAGTTTATGAAAATTCATTGAGCTGTACAACTTTCTCTGTGTAAATTATACTTTAACAAGAGTTTTTCAAAAGTAGGTGTTGTAATACCTGTATTGTCTCCTTTAGCTAAAGAGACATTCTGGAAATGATTTTGGTTATGGCTAAGCATAAAACTGGGTGCTGTAGGCCGGGCGTGGTGGCTCACACCTGTAATCCCAGCACTTTGGCAGGCGGAGGAGGTGGATCACAAGGTCAGGAGTTGGGGACCAGCCTAACCAATATGGTGAAACCCTGTCTCTACTAAAACACACACACAAAATTAGCTAGGTGTGGTGGCGGGCACCTGTAATCCCAGCTACTCAGGAGGCTGAGGTAGAAGAATCACTTGAACCCGGAAGGCAGAGGTTGCAGTGAGCCGAGATCGCACCATTGCACTCCAGCCTGGGCAATAGAGTGAGACTCCATCTCAAAAAAGAAAACAAACAAAAAAACAAAAAACAATTGGGTGCTATAGACTGAATATCTGTTCCCTTCCATCCTCCAATTTATATGTTGAAAACTAATCTTCAATGTGGTATTTGGAGGTGGGGCTTTTGGGAGTTGATTCGGTTATGAAGGTGAAATTCTCTTGAATGGCATTACCACCCTTGTAAAACAGGCCACAGAGAACTCCTTTGCCCTTTCTACCATCTGAGAGCACAGCAAGAGGGCTTCACTTATGAACCAGAGAGTGGGCCTTCCCCAGACATGGAACATACTGGCACCTTGATATTGGACTTCGCAACCTTCAGAACTGTGAGAGAGAAACATTTCCGCTGTTTATAAGTCACCCAGTCTGTGGTACTTTTGTTATAGCAGCCCAAAGGTTTAAGACACTGAGGCAACTACAATGGGTGGTCAACGTATTGGTCCTGGTGCTAGGGCTTGCCTGCTATGAGATCTTAGCTGAACAGTCACTTAACCTCTCTGAACTATAGTTTCCTCAATTGTAAAGTGCAGTGGACACGTACGCTCCTAGCCTCAGAGTGTGGTGAAGAGTATCAGGTACAGTTGAGTCCTGTTACACTATCAAGCACTTTAATATCAAGATCTTCCAAGTTCAAAGCCATAATACTTCCCTGGAGACCAGGATATCTATCGTCTATTTAACATCTCTCTCTGTCTCTCTCCTGTATTCCTCTCTTTCTCTTTAGGGATGGTGAGGGTGGAAAGTAGGTTTGAGGGTTTGTGATCTGTCTCTTTGGGGTTCATCCTCTGGCCTCAAACTTCTTTGCTATCACATGATCTCTTTGTGCAGTTTCTCTAGGCGAGATTTCCTAGATTAACCAAGGTAGAAAGGTGGGGAGAGCAGAGCCACCACGCAGCTGTAGTTCTCACCTGGGCCAGAGACCAGCTGCACAGAAAAAGGCTAAAAGTTGTTTCTGTGCACTCTGGGATCTGTGGGTTTAGGGGGAATTCCACTAGGTGATACAGCTGGTTTCTGATATTCTAGGTAGGAGTCAGAATATCTTTTTAATACATTTATGCATGCATTTTATGTGCATTTATTTAACATCTGCATAAATTTGTATATAATACAACCATTTGTAAAGATAGACCTTACCCAATAAAGACATGTTATGATATAATTGTGATAATTTGTAATCCCAATTTGGGTTTATTCACCTCATGGGAGTTGGGATTCACAGCGTGTAGAACTATCTCTGTGTCTTACACTGTAATAGTATATACCTTTTAATGTGACTAGAAGCTCCCTAAACGGGGCAAGTCTTTCCTGTACTAACAGAACCCCAAGATAGCCACTGTGAAGTGACTTAGGGAAGTGTGTAAGAGTGGGATAAATGGGGAATCTCCACCAACTCCTCACATCTAGGAGAGATCTGATCCCATTTTGGTCATTACAATTTAGGTCTTTCCATAGAACTGTTTCTTTTGGGACTCAAATAGCAGCATGGGGCCCCCTGGTGGCCGGAAATCATGAGTTTACTTTTCAAGCATTTTGAAGGCCAGGTCAGGCTAGAGAAGTATAGAGAATAAATATTCACCTCCAACTGCTGCTTATGGTGGAGGCATAAGAGAGGGTGAGATGGCCTCTATGGGGGAAAAATGAGAACTAAACCTCTTTAACGAGTTTAGGATGGACTATAATTCTGGATAAACCATTCACTTTGTGATATTTTATTCTTTGGCTCATTTAGCACTTTAATTAGGTACTTACTGAATACTTAATCTGCTTAAACCATTATGTTAGGTATTACACTAGGGTTAAAAAGAGGATCTATCACACACTTCTAAGGAGCTTTGGAATAAGGATAACACTTATGCCACGAACACGACAGAAAATAAAAGGTGCCATCAGAGAATAAAAGATGAACTCACAAAAGAGCATTTACATTCAGATAAAAGGGAAGGCTTCCGGGAAGAGGTAGCATTTGGGCTGAGTGCTGATGAGAAGCAGGATTTGGGGAGATTAAAATCAAGGAAACAATGCATTATAAGCGAGGAAAAACACAAGTTTGGACAGACATAGAGCAGGAAAACCAGAGTCAGGTGCAAGAATGGTGAATAGTCTATTCTGGCTAACTCATAAGGAGGTCTGGGGGTTAGAATGAGCATGAAAACTGGATACATCCTTTTGGATCAGACTAGAGAATCTTGAACCTTGTCTGAGTAATTTATTCATACAGCAAGGTGGCGGCGGGTGGGGGGGGAGTGGTGAGGATGAGCTTTGAATATCTTTGCACGGAGAAGAGGTATGTGAAGGCACAGAGTCACTTGCATTGAAATGAGCACAGCCCCCTAAACTTGCATTTGGTTGGGAGGAATGTTGATCTGTATGTGACACCATCTGACCTGCAAAGTCATTATCAGGGTGTTTCCACTTACAAAAACTACCTGTGCAAGAGGGAGTAGTAAGGGCTCAAGGGCTCCTGCCATGTTTAATTAAATTCCTGGATAGAAAGACTTTCAATGACTGTGTTATGCTAGGCTGATTTTGTTTTCCAAGTTTGAAGAAACCTTCATGCCTATCTTTCTATTCTAGTTTAAGATGGTTTGAACTAAATGAATGAGCTGTATTTCTGGCTGGAGTTATAGGGTAGAGTCCTAGCTGTGGACTAGCTGAATGTCCACTGAAGAATTCAAGCAGTTACTTCATTTGCATTGTATTAGATCTAACTGAGTAAGAAACCTGAGAATCTACATTATGCCTGGCATATAGTTGGTGCTTGTGTATGTGTTAAGCAAATAATTAACAACTGATTCCACAAAAATGTAATATACATTTAATAGCACATTATAAAGTTCCTGACCAAAGACATTGATTTCCTAATTATAATAGCAGAGAACTCCTTTAGAATTTAGTAAACGTAATTAAGACTATTCAGAAGTAATGAAAAACCAATATGATAAAAACAAAAATCCTCCAGTAAAGAAGAAGGAACCTGTCCATTTGAGAGAAATATAATTGAGAACTTGCAAATGAGACAAGGGAATATAGCAATTTGGAACTGCAATAGAAATAACTACAACAGAAACAACCATTTAAGAAGTTTTAGCAGCAATAAGTATTTATTATTCTGAATGAAATGTACACTTGATTTTTATATAAAAATCATCAAAAGTGCTATATTGGATTAGTTTACTATTAATTTAACCCCCAATAGCATCTATTAGCTATACCTTTAATGGGTTTTTCTTTACTTCTGACACATCATTACAACTGGCTAAAACTGTCCAATGTTAAAATATAAAAAATATTAGTTTACTCTTCAAGATAAAGTACCACCAGTGATGAGTTATTAAAAGTGAAAAATAAAAACAGATGCCAGTGAATCAATGTATTGAAAAAAATTATCACAGAATTTCATAGATATATGCGAAGCGCAAGGTAATTTAGATCCTTGGCAGAACATTTTTATGGTACATCTTAAGACTGTGGGTTATTTCTTTTGGAGGCAAATGTCTAGTGTGCCAGGGCTATCTTGTTATTTTCTCATCTTTTCTTGGCTACTTTACAGGGTGAACCAAACGCTGTCTAATGCCGTGCACTCCCATGACCCCCAAAATGTTTAATGTAAATAGAAAGCTGATTTTGCAGTCTCAGAAATAGCCCTTAGGATTAAGTTTGTCGTTAAAGAAGACATGAGTCATTCCTCACAAAGGAGAAGCCCCTCCACCCTCCCACCCCTATTCTTCCAGTCTGCTCCAATGCCAAATCTGTTCTCTCCCACCATGGTTCTGGGTGAATTGGGTGACAAAGTCAGAGCAGGTTTTCCAGGCCCAATAGCCCATTTGGTCTTTTTCAGTCTCAAGCAAACAAGCTTCTCTGATTTGCCACGAGAGCTGTCTGACTCTCCCGTCTCTTGGCTTTCTTGCTCCTTTGTCTCACTTTCCAGCACAAGGCGCTGGAGGCTAGTAAAAAAAGTCCAGATGACAGAACAACTAGGCCAAAGATGGAGATGACGGAGCCATGGGAATTGAAGCTGTAAGCCACCGCGGTGACCACGATGCCAGCAATGAAGACAACCACAGCGAAGGGGATGATGCAGCGGTAGCAGGAGAGCTCGGTACCCCCTGTAGCAGCCATCAACTGAATCTCACTGACCAGGGGGACTGTGGTGACCACGACTTCACTCTTGGGGCTCTTCTCCATCGTCGCCGCCATGTGAGCCTTTGGGGCTCCCAGGATCTCCTTGATGGGCTCTTCAGTCATTTTTACAACAGTGCTTCTAAGCTGGGTTTGCAGACTAGATCTGGACAGTCTCACCAGGGTGAAAGCTGTGAAGATAACAGGAGATGTCAGCTACATGTATCAGAATGAACCCTGCAAGCAGAAATAAAAAGCTGGGGAGGCACCTCTTTTCCAGGAGGCATAGATCCATGTGAAAAGCAACTTTACTCTTTTTTTGAATTGGTTGCATTTTCTTTGCATTTAGGCAAAAAATAAGATGAAGCAGATGCACGTGAAGGGAAGACAGAAAAAGCAGGAAGCACTTACAGTGTTTAATATACCCTGGCGGTCTACAAATGTTTTACAAGCTTTTCTCCTTTGTCTATTGCTGCTTCTTCCTCTAAACACACAGAAATGCCTGAATCCTAATCCAAAAATGGTTTCATTCAAGAGCAGAATACATTACAAACAATATTTCACACCGTTAATCCCAGAACTTACAGCAACTCAGACTCCACCAATCTTGCTGGATATAACATGCATTCTTTCCAAACTGTCACCTATTCGCTGCCCACAAAATCAACGTCAAGGCAAGTGGCCAGCAATAAATGATGTTCTTCTCCATTGAACGACAGTCAAAAAATCTTTATTGTGTTACTATTAAACACAGTGCAACCTGCGCCCTGGGATCTTTTTATTAACCATTTTAGGTGCACAGTTCAGCAAAAAATTCATTGACAATGAGGTGGGGATTTGTGATCTGAAATGTAACACTATCTTCCAATCTGCTATGAAAGAGAAAAAATAAGAAAAAAAATTCAACCCCTTCATAGGATATAATTTTGTGCTTTCTCCTGGCAAAAATAAAATCAATTATTAGAGTAATTAGTTATCAATACACAAATTTTCTATTAAGCTCAACACAAAATTTTGATATTATGTATACTACAACATGCAGAAACAAATAAGCATGCTAGGTTTTCAGGCAATCTCATTTTCCTCCATGCCCTTGTGTATAAAACTTGCTGCAATGACGCTTTCTAAGTATTTTGAACCTGAACATTTCAGGACAAAGCTTGAGACTTGATCAAAAGCATCTGGTTGAAATGCTGTCGATGAGAAATCAGTGAAAACGTGTCTGCTGCCCAGACATGGTTGAGTCACTGTCTTCCATTCTCAAAAAGCCGTCTAGCTGCTACACAGTTGAGCAGTTGTAGTTACTGAACAAGTTTAAAGAAAGATACTTGAGACTGTTTCTATGAGATTAATATTTTGAATATATTAAGCATCCACTGAAAATAAATTCAACTCCAGATCAAACCTCACTGGTTCTTCCCTGCTCTGGAAAGTCAAAATATCACTCCCTGAGCAAGGAACTCAATCTTAGAGCTGCCTACTCACATGTCATTTTTAATCACCAAACTAATTAATCACTGTTGTCCAACGACACCCTGACTTCTGGTGAGGCCAGTTAAAAGATATTTGAGATTATGTCCAAAAAAGATATCTTCACCCCAAAGCTGAGATTGAGCTAATCTGAAAATCAAGATCTGTCCCCAAATTACTTACACTCACCTCCGAGAGAGGCAATCCATTACCAGAGTAACCACTTGACTTGGAAGGGAAGAAACAGCAACGCTTGAGTCTCTTCGTCCAACTTCTGGGAAAGAGCCTCTAACAGCACGGCTGTCAATAAAATAATAGGTTAGGGATCTCTTCTGGGGAAAAGAAAAGATGTAAAAATACTTTACTATAAGGTCTGGTCTGGTTTGGGATCCTGGAGTTCCTGCTTCTTTCAGGCTACCTCTGTTCCTAAATGACGCTTGTCTTTCCCTCCCTCTCTCTTTTTATTCCCTCCCCCTCCAGTTTGCCCCTCCCTAACATTTTTTTTTTTTTTTTCCTTCATTCTTTTCCTTGCCAGCAGATTCTGAGTTTTGGCTTCCCCCAACTTTGCTCAGTGACATGATAAGTCCGAATCATTTCTACAGACACCCCAGAGACAGGAGCCAGCTTTTACTTTTCTTTCTCTTGCAGCATTTACTAAGCGGACTGCTTTGTGAATTTGAATGACTCACTTTTTCCCCTGCCGACCTCCAGATCTTCCTCCCGTCCATCAGGCATTTTTATAAGAAAATCCCAGAGTCAGCGTTGCAGACCCGGCTGAGGGGACAGAGCTGAGGGGACAGACACTCTAGGGCGGCAGAAACAGCTGTGAAGTCATGGGGCAGCTGAATTCAGTCTCTAAGCCAGCAAAAATCCACGTTCCTAGGTTTTCCCATTATTCTTTATTTATATGTGCGTGATAGTCATCTGAAGCTTAAAATCCCACTTGTTCAGTGTTAATTCATTTAGGAATGAGGGTGGGAGGCACAAATGTTTGCGGTTAAGGGGGGAAGCCAGTCACATTGATTTAAATATGATTGTTTACTGCTCTTGCAAGGAGGTAACTTTAGCAGCGCCAAGATTATCATCATCATGATAATTGCTACCATTTATAGAGCACCTACTCTGGACATGGCACAATATTAAGAAATGTCACACATTAACATTAATTCTCACTAGTTCATAAATGAGGAAACAGGCTCAGAGAGGTTAAGGAATTTAACGAAGATCACCCAGTAACAGAGAAACCCTTGGTTTGAACCCTAATCTTTAATAGATACATATATCATCTGGGGAGATTGTTAAACTTAGATTCTGATTCAGTAAGTCTGTAACAGGCTCCTACCTATGTCAAGACCTCTGTTCCTTGGCCCACTTTAAGGAACAAGGTATTTTAAACATTCAAACATATACAGCTTGACACATCATATGCTCAAACAATAAAGTTAAACATCTATTTCCCACCCCCATAAACCTGTAAGTGGCTTTATAGGTTTATCGTTTCTTACAGACAAACTGAACATTTTAAAACCTTGAAATACATAAAGCCCAAGATTGTCTTTTTGAGGAGAAAATACTGGGACCTCATCCTACACTTTGTAGTTAAAAGTTTTTCATCCTCCATTTTCTTCATCTGCACATGTGTTAATAACCCCTTCTAATCAATACTGTGAACCATAAATCTAAATTAACTCTTGGAAGAGATTTGTTTTCTGTCTTTCTGTCAAATTGTTATATTTCTCTAATTGCTGGCAAAGGGCTTGGATATTCTCAAACATCTCACCTCTCCTTTACCACAGCACGGTCTCTCCAGCCTTGCGTTGTAGCAATACCCTGATGACTTGTCACAAAAAGAGAGGGACCGGAAGTTATTTATTCTAGAATGAAAGCCAGACAGAGGGTTATGTCATTAGAAAAAATAACGTTGAAAAGTCCCTGAGGTTTGGGGGAATCATGGCAAGTACCCGGAGGACCTTGGTCGCCATGATCCTCACACTTCAAAAATGTCGGACCTAAAGAGACAGCCTTCGTCCCTGAGGAGTGCTGTCACTTGGTGTTGAGGGTCAGGAATACTTAGAACCAGGGCATTTCAGAACTTGCCAAAGTTGCCCCTGGAAGATGGTGAGATGGGGGCCGCTGGCTCCGTCCAATGGAGGTTCTTGAGAAGCTCCTTAACAGAGCTGTCTTCTCACCTGGAAACTCTGGCCCTTGAGGGCAATTCCCCTCTATTTTCTAGTACCACTTCACCTGCAAGATAGCCCAATAACCGCACCGAAGCTCTGAATATCACCTTATTCTGTTGAAAACATGCTTTCCTGTTACCAAAGCGAAAGGTGCAAAAACTGAACTTCTAGAGAGAGGACAATGGCACCTTTTTTCATGGTAAGCCCTTGACTGAGTCTACAATGAGGCACAGTGAGTGTGTCTGTGCCCTGGGAGCATGGGCGAAGCTGTCATCACTTCCAATGCCAAAGCTTTCTTCAACCTTGCCAGGCTCAGGTGCCTCATTCACACCAATGCTCCTTCACAGGGTGTGTGCACCTGCCACACAGTTACCCATCTCTAGACTCTGAGTAGACAACTGATGATTTGTATATTAAATTCAAAGAGGTAGAAAGTTTTGGTAGAAAGCAGAAATTGTATCAGAAGAATAGATGCCTGTCATCCTAACCACTGACACACGCTTTAACCGACTTTACCTCTTCAAATTGAAATTCAAAGAGAATTCCTAGTGATCTATGCCTGTTGCCTCTGAATGTTTGTTTCTCCTTGCACTCTGTGTCTATAAGGTATGAAACACCCCTGGGCATCCTTCAGGGACACCTGCCCCCAAATGCAAAATTTCATCCACAATGTGACCAGCCTTATTTCTGCAAGCTCTCTATTTTCACAAGGAAGAGGAAATCTCTCTAGCTCTTTCTAAAGCACATGGCTTTAGGAGACTTCTTTAAGTTTGGAGAACTTTTCTCAAAGCCTCCAATGCATGAATTGTATCTATGCCCCTAACCCCCACAGGCATTCAACATTTCCTTCCCAGATCTTTCAAAGAGCAAAGCAAAGATCCTTACCTTTCCCAGCCAGAGTTAGACTGAGACAGCTGCCTGCCCCGCCAAGAGCAACCCAGAGAAGGGGATGCAAATCACCACACTAGGGACCGTTAACAAAGTACTCAGCAAGGCTTAAACACAATTAAGGGATCGGAGACAATTTGGTGAGAGGAAATCCCTTAAATGCTGCTGGATTTTACTCTGTTTTCCTCCATGAAAATGTAATCCATATGTGTGTGTGTGTGTGTGTGTGTGTGTGTGTGTGTGTGTATTATATGTATGCACATAGAGAGAGAGAGGGAAAGGGCATCAAGTTTGAAAAGAATATCTTCCTTCACTTCTCTCTTTTTATATCTTTATTCAGGCACCAATTTGCAAGATTTTTTCTATCCAAAGCCCTCATTCTGATGCTCTCCCTCTGTGAATCAGAACCTGCAGAAAAGAATTTGTAATCTTTGCTCTATATTTCTAAGGGAGTATGGGGTTGGAAAGTGTGTATGTAGGGGAATAGGACCATAAACTATCCTCTTTCACCATAACATGCAGGTAATGAAAGGAGTACAAGGAAGATAAAGATCAGTGGTGAAAATTGCATTTGGTGCCTGAGCGGACCCTCTCCATAACGTCAGAGGGGTGGTCCTATTGGTGCCCTTCATCAGAGGATGTCAAGGCACCATAGAAATTATGTGATACTGAAAAATCACACCTCTGAGGTGACCTTCCACCAAAGGCATTGTAAATGGCAGAGCTGGGAACATTTGCTGTTCCAGACAAAATGCCCCCAAATTGGGAAAAATCTCATTTTTTTTTTTTTTTTTTAAGAAACAAAATGAGAGACAAAGTTTCTTAAAGGAGAGGGGCCTGGAAGTGGAGGAGGGCGGGGAGCATGGTGGCTACTATGACAAATAGGTCATTTTGCCCATTTCCCTAAAGTGGAAGCCAAAGATTCAGGCTCTAAGGTTGCAAAAGGGGATGTTTTGATTTTCCCGTTGAGTTTATGCTGTTGAAGGTCTGGAAATTTCTCCTTTGGGAACACATAAAGTTTGCATTTTGTGAAGCATGCCCCCATGTGCATTTGATTACTCGCCTGTCTTTATTTCCAATTTGCTTTTGCTTGGTGTGTTTGAGCTGGCTAATTTCCAGCAGCCTTGAGGATGCCAGTTCCTCTTGGCCCTCTGTCCAATCACCACATGCCTTTGATCTCAGTCATCACCCAGTCCAATTGGATGCAGGGAGATTTGGGAAGCTGGCCAGGTTTTCTCCTCTCTAATGCTTCTTTTAAGGGTGTGCCTGCGTTTATGTTCTGAAATCATGGACATTTTGGAAAGTGATCTGTGCTTCTGTGTTCATTTTGGATAGCAGATATCATGTTATTATTCCCCTTTTCCTTTTTTTCTCCTGCAAAGCACTTTTCTTTGAGGTCTAGGACATTAAATAGAGAGATCTGATAGTACCAAAAAGAACAATGAATGTGCCTTAGATAGAAATATATATTTCACTAATTGGTGGTCAATTTCTAGGTATGGGAATCTCGTAAGATCCATGTGAATATAGAAAGGGAAACATCCATCTTGTAGATGCACATTGTAATCTCCATTCTCTTACCCCATTTTGTTCTGAGTAACTATGAAAGATCACATAAGCATAAAAAATAGAGCTGAGTAAGTAATCTCTCACTTCACTAAGAACTAATTGCCATTCTGGCCTCAGATGAGAAGAATTAATTTTCTTGTCTCAAAATCAGAATGTACATTGAAACTCCTGTCATCCTGATACAACCCCGTACATTTTGCATAGCATTTTATATTTATGTACGTTATTCATTGGAGGCCAAAGATGAGGAAACCCAAAGTTCGAGAGTTACCTCAAATTGGGCTGACACTTTCTTTCCTAAGACAAATGCACACTCCTAGGATCAGCCTCCCTTAGTGAGTGAGCTCTGGGTCACCTATGCTGGGGCTTGCAGGAAACAGACCATACTTGGTTTTTGTTTGTTTGTTTGTTTGTTTGTTTTTCAGGGAGGAGAAGGGAAGGGATCACAATGACCTCACCCCTTTGCCACTCCTTCCTATACCTGATAGCATGGAGCCCTTTGATGCCTGTTTACAGGAGAAATCTCCTCCTAGGCTCTGGTGACCAATATCACTTGTCCTGGTCATAAAATGATGTGCATAAGCATTGTGTGACACCCAATCGACTCCTAATCAGTGTACAATTTCTAGGCTTCAACACCAATCCGGTACTGGAAATTGGAAATCACCCTGTAACATGTACAGTGTCCTAAAAACTGATAATCCATGGTGTCTCTGTAAGGATCAGGTAGCTTTTCTCCATTCCATAGTCACAGAGGAGAATATGCCTTCCGACCGGATTAGCCACCTCCAAGTTAGGTAGCACTGGCCTTAAAATGACTGGCTCAGGATGGGCCCATCAGTGCTGGCCTCCTCCAAATAATTGAAAGTACAGTTTAAACCATAGGTTTTAAGTTGTAGGCTTGGTAACAGGAGCATGGAGGATATTTTTCACAAATAACTTTCTAATTCTCTATTTTGCCGAGAAAGAAATGGAGAGAAAAAAAAAAAATGGAGGTTCAGAGACTGGCACTGTTTCTGGGTTTAACTCCAGAAGCTGGCCTCCTGCCTTCTGAACTGACCCACACAATACGCTCAGTTTGAAGAGGAAAGGGACACATTAACACAAGCATCTAACATGCACTACCCATAACACAGTCATCTCTCAGCTATTTGTATTTTATTTAGAGAGAAAGTGGCAGAGCCAGGTTTCAAATCTAGGTACCTCTTTCTTCTTCTATGTTGTATTGTGAGGAATTCATTTTTAAAATTAGATTATGTACATTTTCCTAAGTTTAGCTTAAGTCTCATTTTCTTGGGTTCAGGGTGATATACTGTGGCTAGATTTAGTTTGGGAAAAGTGCTCTGAAAAGGGTTACCTATTGCTTCTAGAATGATTCAGCCATGTATTTTGCCTTGTACACATGTGGTTATTAAAATAGAGCTGCATTAAGCAGATGTGGGTAGGTTTGAGGCCGGGACAGACATAGGCCTGGTACCTGCAGAATCTGTGGACGATGTCATAACAGTCGGGCCACTTCAAAAGTCACCTAGGCCATTCCTCTGCCTTCAGGAACATTTTTTTTTCCTGTGCTCTTTGGGTGCCAGGAACTTGCTAACTGCTCTAGCTGAGCAGATGCAAAACAGTGGGCAAAGCATGGTCTCTGTTTTCATGGAGTTTACCATTCAGAACAGGAAAGTTGTAGGGACACCAATGTGGGTACTCCTTTTCTAGAAGGAATAACAAACGGCTGTGGGAGGCCCAGGGAAGATGAAATCAATTCAGGCCTAGGGGTGTGTGTGTAGTGGGTGGGGTGTGGTGGTGGTTGTAATCTTCATGACACACAGGCATTTGACGTTATAAATAGAAAAGGAAAGAACATGGTTCTAGGTGGAAGAAACAGCCTGTATTCAAGCATAGCTTTGAAACGTACAAGTCTTCTACAAAGAGCACTGAGTAGTTTGTTTGGCAGAATTTTGAAGAGCACAGGGCAGGCAGAGAGCCGTCAAAATAAGACCGGAAATAGTTTATGGTCAGATTATCGCCTCAGTGGCGAGTTTGGACTTTATTTTGAGAGCAATGTGGTTTTGAACAGGATTGCACAGTCAGCTCTGCACATTATAAACAGTAGACTGACTTTAGAGTG